GTTCGCAAGGAATCGATTAGCTTCGGTGTACGCGCGGTGAGAGCGGGGGCGCAAAAATGCAAGAGCGGGCAGAGGTAAGAAGGTGATTCAGCGCTGGACGCGCGAGTAGACAACGGTTAGGCAGAATGAGGAGGGGTGAATGCGCGCAGCACTACCAAATTCAGGCTGCCACACCTTCAATATTATCCCTTTTAACACTTTTGCGTGTTACGTCCTTATTTTTTTCGTATAATACTCTTTAGGAGCTTCGTATTCGACAAAACTATCCTCCTCGCTGAGAAGACTCAGATTCTGAAAGGCTGGGGTGAACACCTCCAAAGCATATTCAACCACCTATCCAACATTTCTGATACTGCCAGTAGCTGTCTGTTTCAGGTTGAAGTCAACGATGACTCGACCTCTCACCCAGACCATCAGGAAACCATCAAGTCTATGCAGCAATTCTCTAGAGAGAAAGCAACCGGATCTGATGCGATCGCTGCGGAGATCTACAAATACTTTAGATGATCCAATTGTGAAAAAACTCGCGGCCTTGGTGGGAGTCCAACCCAAACAGAAGAGGTTTTTGAGCAGCCAACGCTCTAGCATTGAGGAACGAGGCTTTCCGTGCACCTGGAAAGATTTTACTCGCCCAACTTACTGCTTGTACGGAACGGCAAGCTGACTGCCCACGCAGAATTTCCTAAGCAATAATCTATGATTCAACAGAATGACTACTAGACTCACTTAATTGTTAATGGGGTTTGGCTATTTGCTTAATTTAGTTGACCCAATCGTGAAAAACTCGCGGCCTAGGCGGGGGTTGAACCCACACAATAGGGAAGGCTTTTTCGCAGCCAACGCTCTAGCAATGGACTACCATTGAGCAAATTTGCCAACCCCCCCGCTTACAATTTACAAATACGGGGGCCAGCGTATTATATTTCACCTCACCATGTTCTTCCTGGAGAAGTGACGACAAGGCCAAGTTCCCGAGGACTTCAAGGACGCCAGAACTGTTTACCTCTACAATCGAAAGGGGAACCCCTAACTCTGTGACCATCACCGTGGAATGTAGCTGCTCAATATCGTCGACAAAATCTTCGTCTTAGCAATTACCTGGAACAAGAACTGATGCTAGAAACGTGAGTGAGTATTTGGAACATTTAGTGGATAAACGTGTAGCCAACAAAAATGCATGAAGAACGACCAACAGACTAGTAGGCGTTTCAACGTTTTCACGTATTGTATTTGTTATTGTTATTTTAGATAGTTGTATCGTATGGGGTTAAGTAAGTCTAACCGTGCAACTGCGATCTTCAGACCATGGTTACTTACTGCAGGAGAGAAGTCGGTAAAGGCCAGAGTAGTAGGAAGAG